AACCAGAAGTTCCTTGCATGTGGTCAGGCCCTAAATTTGATACTGGAATTTAAAAACAAATTAAGATTCCCATGTAATATTGACTGCTTCTTTTTTTCTTTTTTTTTTTTCCCAGAGTAAAAGATTTTACAGCATGGAATGCTATATGCAGTGGTTACATGAGTCCAAGTAATTGTACCAATTATATAATTTGATATAATTGCACTAATTACATAAACACATAATAATGAAATATAAGTTATTCCAAGAGCTAAACTGGAAGAACATTAAAGAACCTAAATCTGCTCTCACTTATTCTAGTACAAATCAGAAACAATTCCCTTGAAATCAATGAAGTTACCCAAATAAAATTGGCCCCTACTGTTACAAGCAGGCATGTAAAACCAGCTTTTAGTTCAAGGTTACTGACTGGGCAAGCAAATGAAAGCTACTGGGACATGTTTTACTGAGGCAGATTGCTAATTCCTGGCCAAATTCCAGTGTATGTAGGGAGATTCATGACAAAGTTAGATGTCTTTTACTCTTGTTCTGATCTGTCACCCAGCATGTGTGGGTTCTGCTAAAACTTTTAGCTGCTGATTCCAAAGGAAAAATTACTTCTTTTAGAAACACTGAGAACTGAGAATGAGCTGGGCCCAATCAGGAATTCCAGAAAACTGGATTCAGGTGTGTCTTCATTCAAATTGGTGCTAGCCTGAATTACATCTGCAGACTTTAGGGGAGTTACTGTAGACTGACATCAGCATTTACTGAAACAGACTCCCCTCTTAGACAGAAATTTGTATTTCTGATCCATTTTGCAAAATGTTCTCCCACCCTTCCCAGTAGAAACCACTCCATACAAAAATTATCCTTAGGAAGGATGCGTTCAGTGAGGGGTTTCCCTGTTCTCTGGTGTGGCAGGGCAAGTGCAGCAATTAATTTTCAGCTGCTGAGTTCATCTCTCACAAGTGACAAAGCAAAGAAGGTGAGAGCTGGCAGTTTTGGAGCAGGTGTCTATTATGTGTGGAAATACGTGATGTATGCAGAGTTAATCCCACAAGTGCTCTGTTGCATCACATTGTGACAGTCACCCTGTTCACACCATCCTCACTGACAGCAGTGGGAGGTCCAGGATGGGGTTTTGCCTGGGTTAGAATGTTTTAAAGGGTGAAGATTCTCCAGCTCAAGAGATTGGTTCTGTCACACTGATTTAGCATTTACAGAATCGAGTTCAAAGCCTATCAAAGACAAGAGAGAGTCACCAAGTCACCTTTGGGTGGGGGGGGTATGGATATGACCCAGCTGTTTTTTGAGGTAGAGTACCTAACCTGGCATAAAGCAATGAAACTGGATACTCAGTTTTATAAGGATGGAAATGACAGATGGGAACACCCCAAAATTTTTGAAAAGCAGCCATCAGGCTTGGCCTTCTCATTTTTCATTTTGCCCGATTTCAAAAATGCAGGAGGTGGAAGCTGCACAAAGCAGAATTCCTGCACTCCCCTGTAAAAAGCTGGCAAGAGCAGTAGCTTTGTCACATCTCTGAAAAATCAAGGTCAAACTGTCTCAGATTGGCCCCACAAAATTAAAGACGATTTAATTTCATTTTAGCCTCAGAAATCTGTGTGACAGGTTGCTGTCAGCACCAGGATACAAGAACACCTCAGTGTCTGTAGAATGCCCAGAGCAGTGACTCCATGCTGCAGAAAACTCCAAGCATGTTCAGTTCACATTGATTTCTAGAGTCTCACACAAAATAAAAGGATCTGGGAGCCTGGACTATGATCCAGCTCCTCCCATTCCCAGATGATGCCCCTCACACTATCCTAATATTCATGCTCTGTCCCATAAACACTGTGACTCTAGCTACAAATCAGGGAGCAGAGAAGGCAGGGACAGGGGAAGAAAGCTGGGAAATACTTTTATACCTAAAGAAAAGGGGTGCTTTTTGATGGCCTGTGTGAAAGAGTTCAGGATCCCGAGCTCACTTGTGGGTGTGCAGCAGGATGCAGAGCACAGTTCCTGCCCCTCGCTCCTGGCCAGCCCAGGCTCGAGCCATCCTGGCTGGCAGCAGCTCCCTGCTCCCCAGGGCTGCAGGGCCAAACCCCTCTCTGAGACACCCTGGTCTCTCCTGAGCACAGGAGTCCCAGTGTCCCATGCAGGGTTTGGCTTTGACCCCAGGAACCAAACACTTTCAATTAAGAATGAAACCTAACTGGAGCCAGCCTCCAGGGCGTTGTATTTCAATGGGCAAGATTTCTTAATATATCCCATTTTTTAAAGGGCTGCCCAGTCTTATTTATAATGATGGTGTCATATTAGGGCAAACATGCTTTCAGAGTGAAGGGGGGGTATTGGCCACTGATTTCAAGGGGAATTTATTGAACTCATCAGTAGCCCAGTTAACCCATAGAATGAAAACCAGGGAGAAGGCTGCTGAGAGGTGGAGCAGCAAGTGGTTAGTGGCTTTGACAATCAATGTGCAGCTTGAGGTGGTAAGAAAGCTGTTAGATATTAAAAAAATTTGATCTGGAGGACAAAGTTAGACTCTTCCAGGTCTCCCAGGTTTAACCACAGTGCCTGGCTGTGAGGAGAGCTGGGCAGAGCTACACCTGAATGTGAATTGTAACTAGAACCCATCATTAGTTGCATGATCTTGCTTCTTCAACACTTTTCAGGTTTCAGGGTCAGATCTAACATTTACTAAGTCAACAGAGGTCCTTCTGTCAGCTCCAGCTGGCATTTGCTCAGGTCTCCAGGAGGAAGAATTTGTCTGTGAAAATCAGTTAAATCAATATCGGGATATATGTGCAGCTGAGTACTTGAGTATTTGTCAACATTTTTGAAGGCTAATTAGTAAAAGGGAAATAGTTTACTAAAAAGAAAAAAAAAAACAAAACAACTCTTTCTTAGTGTCAGCTAGTTTTGGGAAAAAAAAAATTAAACTTACTATTTGTCCTTTATTCCTGAAAGTGCTTTCCACATTTTTTTTTTTTTTTACTTCTTCTTAAGCAGTCAGGGAGTGACCCAGAGAAGAAGTTACATTCTTACACAGCAGGTGAACCGGGAACTTGCTGTAAATGACCTGCAGGTATGCGGAATAGCGCCGTTCCTGCGCCCAGAGCCCCTGCGCTGCTGCAGAGAGAAAGAAGCAGATGCTTACATGTATAGACAGCAATAAAACTGGAGTGTAACATTTTTAGGATCGCAGCTGAGCTCTCAGACAAGGCTTTCTGCAATGACTAATACGACTACGGTCTAATGCGACAGTTCACCGTCTGCAGCCTATTCAGCCCCGAAAGTAAGCGAGTTCCTCCAGATGTTACACACTGAAAAAAAAAAAAAAAAGCACATCCAGTTTTCAATCTTTTTTATTTATTTAAACTGTACACAAATGTAAAATACTTCAACAGCAAATCTAAGTGAAAATTGTTTGGTTTAAATTATTATGGAACAGAACCTAAAAGGAACTTTATTAAATAAACATAAAAATTGGATTTAAAGGATGCACATATTGTAATGTATTCTACAATAGTCACTTTTTTTCACTCTACATTCCATGTGCGTATGGTATAGAAAAGACACTGAATAGAACAAACAGAATCAATCCATTTTGTACCCTGAAACAATTGGTAGGCCTCGTGAGGGATTGCTCAGTATGACTACATGATATATGATGGCTTTGCCATCTCATAAAAATTATAACTAATATGTTGGCCTCTTTGGTTCCAAAATTTCTGTATAATACATTTAACTGTATTCATTTTTTGCTGCTATAAAAATAACATTTTTTTTCAAATGGCAGTTTTTGACTAATCATGCAACTAAATCAGTGCAAACATTAAAAGCAATCATTCGCTTTAAAAAAGAAGCAAAAGATTTAATTTCAAGTATAAAAAAATATAAAAAAGTCATATCATAAGTCCAGTTTTGTCTAGTATGGGTCAACACTTTAAATTGCATAGCTCATGCGGCACCTGTTTACCTAGATAGTGAGCAAAGATAAGTGCACTATCAAGTACCACTTTTCAAGGCATTGAAATTTGCAAGTGCTATTATACGTGCATTCAAGCAGTTTGCAAGTGCTATGCTGTATCATTATTTTCTGATCTTTATGGCCATCCTTGACACCTCCTGGTAAGGAAATTGAAAGCACTCTCCTCTCTCCTCCTTTCCAAGACTTGTGAAAATGTTCCTCGCCTGTTATTAAATGCACTGCATTTCCCAGAACGTCTCCACTCTGTCGCTGTCACTCCTCTTTAGGGTTCATTGGTTTAGCCGTGGTGGCCATTGCTTGTTTGCTCGTCCCCCACGTGACGTAGCCTTGCCGAGTCCCCCACTGAAGAACACAGATTGCAACTTTTGACTTTTTGTTCTTTGCACAGTGAGAGATGCCAACAGTCAACACAGTCCAGATATGGTATCGATTCCCTTTTCCAAGACACGGCGGGTGTAGCCAACCATGGGTTGCTAGTGGGCAGTAAAAGCATTGGATCACGCCAGCCCAGCTTGTGACTCTGCAACGGCCAGGTGTTAGAAATACAGCAGTTTCTTACATGTCTGTCCCCTTTTCTCTTTCTCTCTCTCTCTCTCTCTCTCTCTCTCTCCCCCCGATGGAACCACAGGATTCCTTGCTGGAAGTGCTGTAGCAAGAAGTGGGTATCTGTGATGTTTATGTTTAGATAAATTTAAATTAAGAGGAAGTGATCGCCTCCCAAGGCAGGTGTCCTGCAGCTTCCTGTTAGACCTAAGAGGTGACAGTCGACTTTTTTTTTTCCTTTTTTGTTTTTTTTAATTTTCTAAGTTTGGTCATTTTTGACACCTGCGTGCAAGAATACGTTGTGTTCTCACAGTCTGTGCTTTTGCCTGAGCAAAGGGAGCTCCTTTCGGTCTGGCTTTGCCGGCAGGCGGGGAAACAGCTGCTCAGCCGCTCACTCGTACTGGCAGGCATTTAGGTCCATCGTCACTGGTCACTGACTTTCTGTGCTCATGTCCCTTTTCTGAGCTGCCTCGTGTGTGTGTGTCTGTGTGTCTGAGCGCGTGTTTGTGTGCGTGCCCACATTTCGTGTGTGTGTGTGTCTTTAAGATATTTCATAGCATTAACTTATAAGTGATAGAATATATAAGTGTCCATGATCCACAAACTGCCACTGTCCTGACACCAAAGTGAAATGATTATTTTTTTCTTTTTTTTTTTTTTGTCAAACTTTTCCACAGTGACTTTCCAACACTGATGCCTGGATACACAGTGAAACTTCCTCCAACACCATCTTGTACGGGAATGTTTCTCTCTCTCTCCCTCTCTCTCTCTCCCCCCCCAAAACACACCTTAAATCAAGCACAACCACATTCTTCCACAATCATATTGGGAACGTCCCTTTTCACAATGTTGTATTCATCATCAAAGTACAGCATTGACATTGTGCTAAGTTTGGTTGGAATGCAACAGGAGTTCACGGTGCCCGGGTTCAGCCCCCGCATTCGGTACTGATTCACGACAGCGGTGTGAAAGGAGGAAGCCGACCCCGGGACACCGGCCAAGTAGGCCGGGCAGCTCCCTTCACAGTAATTCCCATAGTAACCTGATGGAGCTATGATCCAGTCATTCCACCCAATGAGTCTAAAGTCAATGTAAAACTGTTGCCTGCAACATAGATTGGTCCTGCCATCGCACTCCAGGCCTCTTTTCCGGATCCTGTGTTTGTTATCAGCGAGGCGGGCTTGCACCACTAAAAAAGGCCGGTGGGATTCCTCCCCGGGGTCCACATAAATTGGCAGCACTGAATACTCTTCACAGCCCTCACATTGAACATCCAAGTTCAGTCTCCTTTCTCCTCTCTCAAACAGAGCCTGGATCGCCTCTGTCATGGGAAAAGTGTGCCAACCACTTCTTTTGAGATCAACTTTCTTTTCAACCACATTCCACTTGTTGCTAGTGTCCGGGTCTTGGAAATAGACTTTGACTCTTACTTTTCGCCTGCTGCCTTTCTCTAAGACATATGGAAGCAGCTTCAAGTAAAGCCACAGGCTGGCTTGAACGACAAACAAGTTCTGGTTCCCTTCATTTGAGATGAAGAAATAGAGGCGGACTCTAGATGAGGCCAGATCGTCTGCAAGATAAGGAGAGATCAGCAAGATTAAGTCAAAAAGGAAATGTTAGCTTGTGTGCCATTCTGGATTCAGGGACAACACTAGAGCACAGCAGATCGAGCAAACAGTGACGGGGCTGTGCCAGTCAGAAGGCATGCACTGCATCAGATATCCCCAATTTGCAATTAGAATTAATTGAAAAGGGGACTTCCCACAGCAGCCTTCAACATCGGGCTGTAGTCGGATGTGTCAGATCCACAGTACAGACATCAGTAAGGGTTTTACAGAATATATGTTTTTTCCAGAAAGCAAGAATTAAAGATGCTACAGCAGCACTTTGAAAAAGACGGGCACTAGCTCTAGAACTCTGCTATCTCATCAGTTTAAGAATAGTTTTAACTTTCAGCTACCTGCCAATTCTCAAGGGGAAAGCTCTTTCAATAACCACTAAAACGCCAATGCCAAACCAGGGATTTTGTTTCGATTTGCACATATTCTCGTTGCGGTTTAAAGGAGACGATTCACGAGACAGAACGGAAAATATTTCAGTAATGTGCCTGCTTGTCCAACAGATCAAGCTAACCCCCACTTAGTCTGGTAGAATATCAGCTATTATTAATCATTTCAATCTCTGCCTTTTCTCCCCAGAACGATGAGCTCCCATACGAGGCAAGGCAATGGAGCGGTTGTTCCCGCTGTAACGCCGTTATTGGCTGTTCTCAATACGCTTTTCAGCAACACCAGAATTAAAGGAGAGAAATTGTCACAGAAAACCAAATGTCACCAAATGTCTGACATAACCCCTTATTTGTAAACAGAAGAGCCTGCTGCATGAAACATTTCAGAAATACCAGCGGCCTTCCTGCAATTTTGTAATGAAAGTCCGAACTAAATTTGGCGTAGGTGATAAATGTGCCGGCCTTTATGGCAGAGACCGTAATTCTGGTCCCTGAATCAAAGCATCCCAATTGCTATTTAAAATTATTGCTGGAAAGGCATTTTCTCATCTGCCCTTATCAGTTTTGCTTCCGTCTGTACAGAGCTAAATGTAGATTTTTTTCTGCCTTTTCCTTCCCTAAGAATCTTTAGCATTTTTGTCAATCTCTGAATGGGATTTTTTGCGTAGTCGGTGTCTTCATTTGTTACCCTAGATGCCTTTCAAATGTGCCTCCAGAGCCCATTCAGTACCTTGTAATAGTTCAGTGACAAAAATTTTCACTGTGTTTGTCTACGTTTTACATAAAGTCAATTTTGGAAGTGTTACAAAAGACAGCGATTGACTGAATACCAAATGGAAGTACAAGCCCACCCCCGATCTCCTAACGACATCCTATTAAAAAATAATAACCCCCAAAATGTACAGTAAGAAAGCCTTTCTCATGTTAGTAAGTACACAACTTTTTCGTAAACTGTGGTGACAGTGACAGAAAAAGAACAGTACGGTGCTGCTGCACCGATCCACATCACTTGTGTTGTGTGAGATTGTGTGCGCTCATAAATTTTGTATGTGAATATAACAAGCATATGTATAATGCAACAGATCCCATAGATACTGTAAATGTATATGCCTTTGGTAAGTGGGAGGGTAGATAAAGAAGATGAGTGGGCAGCATACAGGATAGAAAGAGATTTATTTTGTGGACAAATGATATATAGATGCCACAAGAAGATAGAGAGAGGAAAATGAAACGAGCGATAGAGTGATGAAGGAAAGGAGAGATGGGCAGATAGACAGGTAATTCACAGAGTGATGGTGTTCCAGCCAGATGTGCAAAGTTCACAGGGACAGTGGTTAAACTACTGGAAAGCTGTGCTGAAGGGATTCGGTGACATGTAACTGCAATGGCTGGACAGGACTGAGATGGCTGGTACCGTGGGGATGGAGGGCAGCTAGTAAACGGACTGACAGACAGAGAGGAGACAGACACACTTCGTAGGACACTGCATGCAATGGACAAACAGACAAGGCCAATACTGCAAATGAAAGCTAAATAAATGGAAAACAAACGAAAAGAGGGGATGGGCAAATGCAAGCCTCAACAGACAGATGCAGGCAGTGAACCAGATGAACGTGCAGGGCAGACAGACAAGGCAAGGGATGCAAGAGATGGAGCGGGACAGGCAGAGGAGGGACAGTGGGACACGCAGGGACAGAGACAAGCCCCGGTGCAGCTGCAAGGACAGCCGGAGGGGAGCCGGGAGCATAGAGGCCGCGGAGGGATGGAGGGACAAGAGAGGGGAGTTGCAAGGCACAACCCGGGGAGAATCCCGGGCACAGGGGCACAAGCAGGGAGGACGGGAAAGCGCGGTCAGGGCCGGAGCTGGACGGTGCGGGGCAGAGGGGAGAGCGAATGAGGCGGAGGACAAGCGCGGGTGAGCTGGGCGGCCAGGTGCCCGTACCAGGCAGAAGGACAGGCGGGAGGAGAGGCAGGGTGCGCAGGGGGCCAGGCAAGGGCAGCCGGGGAACTGCTACGGGTCAGGCAGGCGGAAAGAGAAGGTGGGCAGGAGGACAGGCAGGGCGAGAGGGAAGACTGACAGAGGTCAAGCAGGGGGACTGACAGGGGTCGAGCGGGGGGAATGACAGACGGGGCGAGGCAGGACAGGCGGGGAGCGCGGCAGGGCAGGGGCCGCGGCGGGTCGGGCAGGGGGTGCGGGCGGCGGGGGCGCGCGGCCGGGCGGCGCCCACCTGTCTCGGCGAAGCTGATGATCTCGGAGACCGGGTCGTGGGCCGGGGGCCCGGCGCTCGCCTGCCCGTCCAGGCTGGGGATCTCCACGCGGCCGTCCTCCCGCACCTTGCCGGCGTGCAGCTTGCGCAGAGCCGTGACCATGGCCGCCTTGGGCACGGCGTGCGTGATGTTGGGCCGGTCCCGCATCTGCAGCCGGCTCAGGATGTGCCTCTTCACCGCCTCCAGGAAATCCCCGTCCACCTTGCCCGGCTCCTCGGGCCGCCGGAAGCCGCAGGAGGTGCATGTGTCCTGCGGGGAGCCGCCGGCGGGGGCCGGCGGGGTCGGGGTGGCCGCGGCGCCCAGCAGGAGCAGCCCGCAGGCCAGCAGCGCGGCCAGCACCCCCCGGCGAGCCGCCCCGTCCATGGCGGAGGAGCGGGGGGCCGAGCTGGGGGCCGCCCCGGAGCGCCGCAGGGAGCCCGTCTGCAGGCAGCGCCGCTCCGAGCGCTCCGCGGCGCGGAGGGGGCGGTGGCAGCCAAGCTGGGGGGCCGCAACCGCTCCGCGCAGGGGGGGAGCCGCGGCGGAGGGAGGGGGCGCCCGGGGAAGCGGCGTGTGCCGCCGGGGAGGCGGAGGGGGGAGGCTGCACGCGCAGGCACCGAGGGCGAAGTTGGCGGCGGGGGGGGGGGAACAGGCTTGGCGTGCACGGAGAGCCTGGCTCCACACGGGGGAGGGGGACGGCAGCAGGTGAGGGGGTGGCTGCGGAGCCCGGGGAGGAGGGAGCGGGGAGCGGGGAGCGAGCCGGAGGTGCGAGGGGATCCGGGGAGCAGGGGAGAGGCGGCGCCGCTCTGCCCCGGTGCCCCGCGTCGCTTCAGAGGGGCATCCCCGGGCGCAGTCGCTCGTGGTCCATTCCCTCGCTTCGCCAGGTCCGGGCGGGCCGCGGAGAGGAGCTCTCTAGTCCAGCGTCATTGAGGGGGGTCAGGGAGATAAACGAAGCAGATTTATATACAATCCAATTTATAGCCTGGAAGGAGGGGGGGGTGGGGGGGGAGAGAGAAATACCACTTGTACCGCCCCCCCCGTCGCTCGGTTGTCCCCCTTCAGCGCCCGCTGCTTCTCAACGTGCCATCAAAGTTGACCCGGAGCATAGCTGGGGAGGGAGCCGGGGGCGGCGGGCAGAGGGTGCGCGGCTGGCAGCTCCACTGTTGCGAGTCTTCTCCCCTCACCGTCCCGCTTATTATTAGCGAGATGCTTTTATTTTCAAAGCAGCGCGGAGGGTCCGGAGTCCGGCGCGGATGCGGTGGCGGCGCCCGGGGACCCCCGCCGCGGGCAGGGCACCGCACGCTGCGCGACGCGGAGCGGAGAAGCGGCGCGATCCCGGCGATCCCAGGAGAAGCTGCACGGATCCACTTGGTCAGACCAGCTCTTCGGCTCGCTCCCTCGCTTGCTCTTTTAAACAATATCTCCCTTGTTGGTGGTTTGGGTTTTATTATTATTATTGCTATTATTATTTTAAGTGTGATTTTTGTTGTTGTTGCTGCTGCTGCTGCTGCTCCAGTTAATCTGTCTCCCTCTGCGTCTTTTTGATCTTTCGCTCGCCTTGTGCTGGCTTGAACGCTGTGTTTTGTTTTGTTTGGGGTTTTTTGTTTTGTTTGGCTTTTTGGTTTTTGTTTTTGTTTTTTGTTTTTCTTTTTTTACGCGTCTGATGTTCCCTCTCGGATCCGCAGTGAAAGGTCTCGGGGAAGCTGCTTGCTCCTCGCTTATCTTCTCTGATCTCCTCCTGCTAATTTTCCCCCCCTGCAAAATCACGACATTGTGGCACTTTCTACTGAAACTTTTTATACAGGAGTTAAAACCACGTGGGAACTCCAACCTATAACAGACGCCATGGGCTCCTCACTATTTAGGAGCTTAAGTTAAGTCTTTTGCCCCCTGGGCTATTACAGTAACTTCCTGATGTGGAAATATTAACTATGCTGTTTCTTTAACTCCCCCCGTCCCCTCCCTCCCTCCCTCCCGGTTCCTGCAAACACACCCACCACACCGGCTCGCGTCCCTGTCCCATCGTCCGGCAGGACGGACGGACGGACGGACCCCGAGCGGCTGCAGCTCTGGCCCCCTCCCGCCCCGGCCGGGAGATGGATGCCCCCTTCTTCCCCTCCCCCGGTGCTCCTTGGCTTTTAAGCACTTGAAAGTCATTAGAAAGTTTACCATCGGTTGGCTTTGCGACGGGGGGGGTTTCTGTTTGTTTGTTTGAATGAGCCGGGTAGCCGGGGCGGGTGCCGGGCACTGTGTGTGTTTTCCGTGGGGCAGCAGGGACGCGGAGCCTGTCGGAGGCAGCAGGGGGAGGGGGACCGGGGCGGCGGCCGAGGGGAGCCGGGAGGGGAAATAACGGGACCGCTGCACTCCCGCAGGGGAGCCGCCAGCAGCACCGGCCCTGCCCGCGCCCGGGGACCGGCTTTTCCTGCGCGCCTTCGCGGGAGAGCGCTTTGGGGATGGGGAGGAGCGGGCACCGGGGCAGAGGGGATGGATGGCCGTGACACCCCTCACGGCAGCGCTCAGGAGAGATCCCCACCGGCTCCCGCCAGAAGCCCTGCCCGGGGACCAGCGGCCAGGGACAGGGGCCAAGGGGGCGGGGGGAGAAGCCCGGCGCACATCGGCGGCCAGGGCAGCACCACCGAGGCGGCGGCACCACCGAGGCGGCACCGCGGCCGCTCCGCTCCGCGCCGGGCCGGGCCGGGCCCCGCGGGGTCGCGCTCACCTGCGCGGGGCCCGCGCGCGCCGCCGCCGCCACAGGGCCAGCCTGGGCCGAGGGCGCCCCCTCTGGGCCGCGCGGGGAAGCGGCGGCGGGGCCGGGCGGGGTCACCGGGACAGCCGCATCCCGGGACAGCCGCATCCCGGGACAGCCGCATCCCGGGACAGCCCCCGGATGCACGGGAGCACCCGGCCGTGGGGGCGCTGGGGAGGTCTCCGCGGTCCGGGCTGGGGTGCCGGGTCCCGCAGAGGCGAGGGGCTGGGGCTGGGCAGCGGGCGGGCGGTGCGCGCTGGAGCCGGAGCTCAGCGCTGGGCAAAGGAGCACTTTGGGCTGAGCCTTCTGCCCGGCCCTTCTAATCGCATCTACTTTTTTTTTTTTTTTTTTTTTTTTAATTAAAAAAAAAAAAAAATCTACCTTCAGGAATGAAGACAACTCTCAAGACCTTCATCTTTTTCACCGAGGCAGATGGTGCTTTTCAAGGGCAGATGCAGGACACACAAATTTCAAGCATGACAGCAAAGAAGTCCCTTCTGCTCATTTCATTTTGTAGAAGAAGAAAATAATAAAACTTCTCATCGATCCCTGGACTGCACTCGAGTGAGAGCTGTTAGCTGTCACAAATACAAGCAACTCAGGAGTGTGAAGAGGGTCAAGTGGAGGATCAGCTCATTACTGTGATTTAAGAATGGAGGGGACGAATGCAATTCTCATCATAAATGTTTTCTTTCTTGTTCTATACTGCAAAAGGAAAGACATTCAATGCTGTGCTTCAAAGTCACATTGCAATCCCAATCTAGTTGTTCATGTTGGGTTTAATATAAACAAAGTCTAATTGCATATACAGCTTTGTAAATCCTCAGCATCACTGGAGCTACCCTGATGAGAGATCAGAATTAGGTACAGTATTTCCTCCCTGCCAGTAACAGGTTTTGAATGGAAAGCCTGGAATGTAAAAAAAGAAATAATGCTAAAAATCCAATCACTCTGACATCCTGTGAGCTAATAAGAGCACGTGAATGCAACAAGCTTAGTACTTCACAGTAATTAATTTGACAGCAAAGAGCTAACAAGAAAACAACAGGCAGAGCAGTGATGACTGGTTCATAGAGGTCACTGTCAAACAAGAAATAGGTGCAAACACAGTCCATCTCCCTTTGGAAAAAAGTATTTTGTTGCCCCAGTGAAAATGAAATGCCAAAGAGGGAAAATATAATGGGTTTGGTGGGGATAACAAATCTGGCAAGGTATTTCTACAATAAAACAAGGTAGAGGTTTTCTTTTTTACATGTGGGGATTTTAAATCATCCCTGTTACTTGCTGTAGTGGCATGTTTTGGTTTTTGCATTTCTCCCCCTCTCAGCCAAAGCCATTTTGCATATTCAAATATTGGGAAGACTTATCTTCTCTCACAATTACTAACAAACTAATACAATAATAACCTCTATTGTTATTTAAAGTGTGTCCAACACAGCATTCTGGAGGCAGTTCTCACACAATGGACTTTCTCTGGCTTCCTCCTAGAGAAGAACTTAATCAAACCTCAGATGCTTTCAGGCAGAAGAGCCTTCAGGGAGAGCAAACAGGGTTAACAGAAAGAAATGTGCCATCTGATTTCTAATCTTGCTCAGGGAGCATGGCCTATTGATTGAGCCATAAAGCTCTGTTAATTTTAAGATTTCCTCAGCTTTCAGTTCTTTCCCTTGGGCATAAACTTGTTGCTTACACATAGTGGCTGAGCTATCAGGGAGAGGGTAGCTTCACATTCTCCAACTCGGCTCTCTTCCCCTCCTCCCCTCCATTCTATTTGTTCTGAGCTCATCTGCGTGAGGATACATTTTCACACACACCTTCTCAAACCGGCTGCTATTCATCTGATTCAGGGTCATGCTTTTCCATACATTAAATGCAGGGGAAAACTGGGAAGGAAATGGCTGGGATTTGTGCTTGACGGGCAAGCACACGATTAGCCAGGGAGCCCTGCTGTGAGAAAGTACAGCGTCGGAGGGTATTTTCTGTAGAATCATCCAGTCTCATGACTGGAATCTGATGCCTATAAAAAGCTACTATATAATGAAAACAGGATAAACTGAGATCCTCAGGCAGTGTAAGTCGGCATGTTCCCGAGACATCCAACTGCTGCACAATCACGGAACAGGTCAGCTTGGAAGGGACCACCCGTGGGGTCATCTGATCCAACCTCCCTGCCCAAACAGGGTCCTCCTAGATACAACTCTTTCTTCCTTTTTAACCTAGATATTTGCTTATGCACATTTTTCTCAGGGATAAGGAAGCAGAAGTCACTCTTGGAGAGGCCAGTCAGTGCAGCCCTGAGCTAGAAACTGAGCAGGAGGCGATGGCACAAGGCAGCTCCCTCAGTGCACTGTGTTTCCACCATGCCCTCAGTGGGACCATGAACAATTTACATTAGCAAAGGATCTAGCTCTTCACCTTTAGCTAAAGCACCTTTTATGCACTTAAACCATTAATAATATCTATTAGGTAACCTTGTTAATCCCTTTGAGGTAGGATTTTCTCTACTGTACTGATGGCTGAACTGAATAAAAGCTTCACATATGAGAGGCCTGGTTTGCACTAGAAATGCTTCTCCTTTGATAACCAGCAAATACAAGTTTTACTAGCACAAGCATCTTTTTCTGCAAGCGTTTCCCAAATA